GCTTCGAGAAGGAGCTATCATATAATGCCCCTACTCTCACCTTCGTCGTTGACAGCCTACTCACGACGCCTACGCCACACCAACATGAAAGCGTCATAAATGTTTGTTCTAGAGTTCAAGTCAGGTTCAGACACCCTGACTAGACAAACTCCCCCCCCCCCTCCCATTGGCTAACACCAGAACCACCATCAGCCCACCACAGGTGCGCTCGTTCCCTGCCGTTGACTAGGTCCAGGCAACATTGACATAGGATGTGACATCACCAACAGGTGTATAAATATCCCAGACCCTTACCGACAATTCCTGCTCTCTCGGGTGCTCTCCACGGGGTCAACATTACAAGAAGCCATGATTTCTGCTTCCCAGCCATTTCATGCCCAGGTTGTGGTGTTTCAAGCGTACTACTTCGTTAGCCCTTATTTGTTCATATTGTATAAATTGATTAACGTAAGTTTCATGTGTATTATGCTATTGTGTAATTGCCAAGAGCTGTCAGATAAGTGTTGTTGTAATTCAGTTATTTCTTTTTATTTTGAAGTAAATTTATATATATTTTGCCTGAGTTTACATTAACGCTTGCCCACTTTTCACACTGCAAAGGCCAATGCATTTTTGTTTAAGTTTTTTTACATAGGTGAGGTATATCATGGCCCGGTATGACCGCAATACTGAATTACGTCACAATATAATAATAATAATAATAATAATAGTTCATTATTTAGGTAAAAGTACATACATATAATATGAATTAAAAGCAAAATGTTGGATTTCTAGATAGAGCTGGTATATGGTAGGCCTAAACCCACTAATACGCACACCACTTCGGGAAAGATGTAAGGAAAAAACGTAAAAATTAAATACTACTTGTGAACATTGTTATGTACACTAGCATGGTAATGTACAGAAACACTCCCATGTACAGCACTTTCGCGCTTTCCACAAACTGGACAAAACTTTCTCCAAGTGGAATCGACGTTTCGGGCGATCGAGCGGCAACACTGAGAAGTGCATACTCTTTTCACTGTCCTGACCTTAATTTTCGATGTACATATTTCATTTTTATACCAATGTGTTCGCAATAGACTGTTCTAGAAGAACATATGTATAAAATGTCACACAAGGATGCGTTAGACCGGCACCAAATAAAAAACCAACGTCGATTAAACTCATCGTGTCAAAAATACAATAGTCTTTCCACTAAGTTACAATACAATGCCGTTCTCCCAAATAGGCCATGTGGCTACTAGAAACACGGAAATTTAATAGCAAACATGTACATAATGTCTCAAAGTCGATCGGATAAGAACTGGATTTTATACAAATATTATTTAATCGGACGTAATTTTCTGACACTAGACCACCTCCACGACAAAAATATCGGACTGGTATTTACGACCGCGGGGCGCGAAAGATGGGAGGAAAAACGTAAAAATTAATTACTACTAGAGTACATTGTTATGTACACTAGCATGATGCACGGAAACACTCCCGTGAACACAAACATGATGGTGTACAGAAACACTCCCATGTACAGTAGCATGCTGGTGTACAGAAACACTCCCATGTACAGTAGCATGCTGGTGTACAGAAACACTCCCATGTACAGTAGCATGCTGGTGTACAGAAACACTCCCATGTACAGTAGCATGCTGGTGTACAGAAACACTCCCATGTACACTAGCATGCTGGTGTACAGAAACACTCCCATGTACACTAGCATGCCGGTGTACAGAAACACTCCCATGTACACTAGCATGCTGGTGTACAGAAACACTCCCATGTACACTAGCATGCTGGTGTACAGAAACACTCCCATGTACACTAGCATGCTGGTGTACAGAAACACTCCCATGTACACTAGCATGCTGGTGTACAGAAACACTGCCATGTACACTAGCATGATGGTGTACAGAAACACTGCCATGTACACTAGCATGATGGTGTACAGAAACACTCCCATGTACACTAGCATGCTGGTGTACAGAAACACTCCCATGTACACTAGCATGCTGGTGTACAGAAACACTGCCATGTACACTAGCATGATGGTGTACAGAAACACTGCCATGTACACTAGCATGATGGTGTACAGAAACACTCCCATGTACACTAGCATGCTGGTGTACAGAAACACTCCCATGTACACTAGCATGCTGGTGTACAGAAACACTCCCATGTACACTAGCATGCTGGTGTACAGAAACACTCCCATGTACACTAGCATGCTGGTGTACAGAAACACTGCCATGTACAGTAGCATGCTGGTGTACAGAAACACTGCCATGTACACTAGCATGCTGGTGTACAGAAACACTGCCATGTACACTAGCATGCTGGTGTACAGAAACACTCCCATGTACAGTAGCATGCTGGTGTACAGAAACACTGCCATGTACACTAGCATGCTGGTGTACAGAAACACTCCCATGTACACTAGCATGCTGGTGTACAGAAACACTCCCATGTACACTAGCATGCTGGTGTACAGAAACACTCCCATGTACACTAGCATGCTGGTGTACAGAAACACTGCCATGTACAGTAGCATGCTGGTGTACAGAAACACTGCCATGTACACTAGCATGCTGGTGTACAGAAACACTGCCATGTACACTAGCATGCTGGTGTACAGAAACACTGCCATGTACACTAGCATGCTGGTGTACAGAAACACTGCCATGTACACTAGCATGCTGGTGTACAGAAACACTGCCATGTACACTAGCATGCTGGTGTACAGAAACACTGCCATGTACACTAGCATGCTGGTGTACAGAAACACTGCCATGTACACTAGCATGCTGGTGTACAGAAACACTGCCATGTACACTAGCATGCTGGTGTACAGAAACACTGCCATGTACACTAGCATGCTGGTGTACAGAAACACTGCCATGTACACTAGCATGCTGGTGTACAGAAACACTGCCATGTACACTAGCATGCTGGTGTACAGAAACACTGCCATGTACACTAGCATGCTGGTGTACAGAAACACTGCCATGTACACTAGCATGCTGGTGTACAGAAACACTGCCATGTACACTAGCATGCTGGTGTACAGAAACACTGCCATGTACACTAGCATGCTGGTGTACAGAAACACTCCCATGTACACTAGCATGCTGGTGTACAGAAACACTCCCATGTACACTAGCATGCTGGTGTACAGAAACACTGCCATGTACACTAGCATGCTGGTGTACAGAAACACTGCCATGTACACTAGCATGCTGGTGTACAGAAACACTCCCATGTACACTAGCATGCTGGTGTACAGAAACACTGCCATGTACACTAGCATGCTGGTGTACAGAAACACTCCCATGTACACTAGCATGCTGGTGTACAGAAACACTGCCATGTACACTAGCATGCTGGTGTACAGAAACACTGCCATGTACACTAGCATGCTGGTGTACAGAAACACTCCCATGTACACTAGCATGCTGGTGTACAGAAACACTGCCATGTACAGTAGCATGCTGGTGTACAGAAACACTGCCATGTACACTAGCATGCTGGTGTACAGAAACACTGCCATGTACACTAGCATGCTGGTGTACAGAAACACTGTCATGTACACTAGCATGCTGGTGTACAGAAACACTGCCATGTACACTAGCATGCTGGTGTACAGAAACACTGCCATGTACACTAGCATGCTGGTGTACAGAAACACTGCCATGTACACTAGCATGCTGGTGTACAGAAACACTGCCATGTACACTAGCATGCTGGTGTACAGAAACACTGCCATGTACACTAGCATGCTGGTGTACAGAAACACTGCCATGTACACTAGCATGCTGGTGTACAGAAACACTGCCATGTACACTAGCATGCTGGTGTACAGAAACACTGCCATGTACACTAACATGCTGGTGTACAGAAACACTGCCATGTACACTAGCATGCTGGTGTACAGAAACACTGCCATGTACACTAGCATGCTGGTGTACAGAAACACTGCCATGTACACTAGCATGCTGGTGTACAGAAACACTGCCATGTACACTAGCATGCTGGTGTACAGAAACACTGCCATGTACACTAGCATGCTGGTGTACAGAAACACTGCCATGTACACTAGCATGCTGGTGTACAGAAACACTGCCATGTACACTAGCATGCTGGTGTACAGAAACACTGCCATGTACACTAGCATGCTGGTGTACAGAAACACTCCCATGTACACCAGCATGCTGGTGTACAGAAACACTGCCATGTACACTAGCATGCTGGTGTACAGAAACACTGCCATGTACACTAGCATGCTGGTGTACAGAAACACTGCCATGTACACTAGCATGCTGGTGTACAGAAACACTGCCATGTACACTAGCATGCTGGTGTACAGAAACACTGCCATGTACACTAGCATGCTGGTGTACAGAAACACTGCCATGTACACTAGCATGCTGGTGTACAGAAACACTCCCATGTACACCAGCATGCTGGTGTACAGAAACACTGCCATGTACACTAGCATGCTGGTGTACAGAAACACTGCCATGTACACTAGCATGCTGGTGTACAGAAACACTGCCATGTACACTAGCATGCTGGTGTACAGAAACACTGCCATGTACACTAGCATGCTGGTGTACAGAAACACTCCCATGTACACTAGCATGCTGGTGTACAGAAACACTGCCATGTACACTAGCATGCTGGTGTACAGAAACACTGCCATGTACACTAGCATGCTGGTGTACAGAAACACTGCCATGTACACTAGCATGCTGGTGTACAGAAACACTGCCATGTACACTAGCATGCTGGTGTACAGAAACACTGCCATGTACACTAGCATGCTGGTGTACAGAAACACTCCCATGTACACTAGCATGCTGGTGTACAGAAACACTGCCATGTACACTAGCATGCTGGTGTACAGAAACACTGCCATGTACACTAGCATGCTGGTGTACAGAAACACTGCCATGTACACCAGGCTACTGATGACTGGAAGTTATGACAAGAAACAAATCATTTACCGTGAGGAAGGTGTGAAGATGAGCGTGAGCTCCGGGACACTGGACTCGGCGGGTGTCGTGCACCACCTCCACCTCCGTCGCTCCTGCGTCTTCAGCGTTCTGTACCAGTTCCTGCAGTTTATAATGTAATATTTACTGTTAATTAATAATATGATGTGCTAAACTAACATTGCCCTTTATGTAGTAATGTCATGTTTACTGTTAATATGATATTTTAAACTAATATTGGTCTATATGCAGTAATGTTATATTTATTGTTAGTATGATAATTTAAACTATTTTACCTGAGGGCCACTAACACTAGGGGCCTCGATGTGAACAGGAAGCCGGCGGCTTGTCGAAGGTCCCCCATTTGCCTTAATGATCCTCTCCTGCCCGATTAGAGAACCTAACAGGGATTTGGCGTTTGCGCTTCGGCAGGTAGCCGGTTCCATGGGTTTATAACCCTTTTGGTGAAAAAGCATTTCCTGTTCACAGTCCTACATTGAAGTTTGTTGAGTATGAACCAGTTGCTCCTTGTCTGTGTTACATCTGACCTTCTGAAGAAAATGACTGGATCAACATCCTCCAACTTGTTCAATATTTTAAAAGTTTCAGAGAGGTCCGCCCTGTCATGCTTGGCTTGTAGTGTTGTTAGGTCTGTGTCCCTCAACCGTTCCTGACACGAGAGATGAATTAGCTCTGGAATTACTTTTATTGCCCGGTGTTGAAAGTGAAGTCTCCATGCTTGGATACAGTAATCCAAATGGGGGCACACCATAGATTTATACAGTTGAACCATTACCTTCTGTTCCTTAAAGTCAAAGGTACACTTGATTATTCTGAGGATTTGGTTAGCTTTTCTGACTGCTGCACCTACCTGTTGTGCAAGGTTTAGTGAATTTTGACTAAAAGATCCTTTCCTTCACCAATCTGCTGTAATGTAACGGCATTAATTTAATAGTTGTAACATGGGTTGTTATGCCCCACATACAAGGTATTGCATTTGTCGATATTCAAAAGCATTTGCATGTCTTCTGACCATTTGTGGAGTTCAAGTAGGTCTCTTTGTAAGGTCTGTATCATTTTCACTTCCCACTTTACCATAAATATTTGTGCCATCTGCAATTGATGTACATGACAAAAAGGGTTAGCCCTAAAATGCACCCCTGTGGCACCCCACTAACCATGTTTCTCCATTCATATTAGTTTCCATTTAGCACGACCCTTTGTTTTTTTTGTTTCAACCATTTTTTATCCATTCTGGTATCTTACCAATTATTCCATGGGCCTGTAATCTCCTTACCAGTCTCTCATGTTTCATGTTATACCTTATGAAGGGCTTTAGCAAAATCTATGTATACTACATCCACTGGAAGGCCTTTGCCTGAATAGCTGATTACCGTTTCCAAAAATGTAAGCAAGTTTGTAAGAAAGGATCTATTTTTAACAAACACATGTTGTGTCGATCGTACAAGATTATTTACTGAGAGATGATGAATGATTCCTTCCCTGAGGATTCTCACCATGAGCTTGCAGATGTGTGATGTAAAGCTGATCAACCGGTAGAATTCTGCTGTGCTCTTTCTATATTTTTGAAAGTAGGGGGTGACATTTGCTTATTTCTATTCTAGGGGGACTATCCCTGGGTCCTGAGATTTTGTGAAAAGTTGTTTCAACGGTAGACCTAGTTCTTCTGACAGTTCCTTTATAACTCTGGATTAGATTCCATCCACACTTGGGGCCTCTGAGTCTTTAGTTAATCTCGACATTATCGTTTAGTTGTCGACATTATCGTTTGCTAATGTTCTTCCTGATTATGTCGCATGTCATGGGTATATCCCTAAATTCAATCTCCTCATCTCCTGCATACATTTGTATAGGTGATGGGATGTCATCTAACCTGATGTAAAATATTAATTTAGAGCATTTGCTGCTCTTTTCTTATTCATAATAACTCGGTTAGTCTCATTTGTTAAGTCCCGACCGTCCAAGTGGTTGGGCACCATTCCTTCCCCCCGTCCCATCCCAAATCCTTATCCTGACCCCTTCCAAGTGCTATATAGTCGTAATGGCTTGGCGCTTTTTCCTGATTGTTCCCTTCCCCGTTTATCTGTTAAGTGTGTTACAGAGCCCTTTGTTTTGGGTTTACTTCTTATATAAGCATAGAATGATTATGGACCTTTCTTTATGTTATGAGTAAGTTTTCTTTCGTAGTTTCATTTGGCTGATCTGATGGTTTTCTTGGTGGTCGAGTTTAGTGTCCTTGTGTATATCTCATAATCATTGATGTTAATCGTGGATTTATATATTCAACAGACGTTCCACTATGTTATCAATGTTCAGTTTACGATCTGTGTCATCCATCTTGTTCCACTTATTTTCTTTCTCCTTTTTGGCATATATTTTTGAATGAGTTATGTTATGACCCCTTACAAATTTTGTTATGATGCTTCCATGCCATGTTCGCCCTTCAGCTCAATCCAGGAGATGTTTTGTAGTTTCTCTCTCATTCCATGATAGTTTCCTCGATGGAAATCTAGAAATTCATTACCATTGACCTTTATGTGGGTTTCTATACTCGTAGTCAATTCTAAAATATGGTGATAACTTGAGGGGGTTAGCTTTTCCCCAACCTGAAGTTGATCAGTCATGCTCACTTCTGATGGTAGCACAAGCTCTAAAATACTGTTCCCTCGTGTGGGCCGTGCCACATGCTGTATGATAAAGGAGTCCTGTGTCAGGGGACATATTTTTCCTGCTCTCTCGTGCACTGAATTAAGTACAAAATTGCATAGTGCACCAGTGATGTGCACCGTGATTCAACTTTCTGAATATAACTTTTCCACAGTCGTGTTGGGTGTCGATGGACAGCCCATGACATTTGCTAGCCATTGATGTCATTCTGATCGCTGTATCAGGTCTGTGAAGGAAATTACAGGCGGGAGTTGATTTCAGGGAAATTTTGTACAAGTCAAGTGTAGAGAGGGAGGTATGGGGGGGGTTAACGGCCGTAGACCACCCCCTCTATCACGTGTCCACCTCGTGTGAGAGGGGGTAGCGTCATGGGGCAGGTGCGCCATTGGCTAACGGCCTGGGCCTCAGAAATGCTGAACCGTGATTGGCCAAGACGCTGAGGGGTACCGCATGGTACCCCAGGCATAGTGTTGGCGGGAAAAGACATTCTTGCCTAGGACGTTGCTTGGAGGAGGTCGTAATTTTCCGTGCAAGGCCAAGCATCGGGAAATACCGCCTGCAACGTTACTAAAGTCAGGCCTATCATCTTGCTATCTTTCCGTGTGCCATGCGTAAGAATCCGGTAATCGGAAAGGTGCTTGTACCGAACCGTGTGAACTTGTCATCTAGCCGCGTAATTGTGGGACGCCATCTTAGAGGAACTGGACTGAGTGAGGCGTTAATTATCGGGCTACGAAAGTTACATCCGCCGTCTATCGTATCTGTGTTTGAAGGTACTGCTGTGAGACGTGCTAGAGAAGGTTTCAGTGTTATGAGAGAAACCTTGAAAGTTCTAATTCTGAGGAACAGTGAAGGACTCCGTCTCGGGTCTCGTGTACCGTGTAACACCGTGTACCGTCGTATCCTGGGGTACCGTGGCATGTGGAAGGGCGTGGTACCGCATCCCTGCTGTTGTGCGCTCACCCTGGCCTGCCTAAGCTGGTGTGTCTGCGCCACCCTGGTCTCTGTGTGTGGAGCTAACGCCGTGGTCTAGGACCCTGTGCTCCACCTGACCACGTGTAGGAAGAGAGGACGCCTACGTCATCATCCAGCAGCAGCAGCGGGAGTGTGATTTGGACGTGTGTATGTGTGAGTGCGAGAAGGTTGCTGGCCCGCATGATTGATGTAAGTACACTGTTTCCGTTTGGGTAATAAAACTCTGAAGCTGGGTTCACCCCCAGTGTTCCGTTGTCCTCTGTCCCTGGGACCACCTGGGGAGGTGAATGGGAATTGGAGACGTGCGAGTCTACCCTGTTGCCGTCATCAAGTTGAGGTTGGGCCCAACTGTGATTTTTGACGTGTGTGAAGACACCTAGTGACACATTCAGAGGTAGAGTAAAGTGAGTTATTTGCTTCTATTCTTTCTATGTGCCGCATATGTATTCGCTGTAATTTGATTCCCTTTTTCAGCAGTGAAAAGTGGTAACAGGGAGATTTCCCTTGGTTATATATTTTACTGTTGTGTTGTGGTAAAGTGTGAATTATTGGTGGATAATTTACTGGGGAGAGTCATTTACAAGTTTTGCCGTGAGTGGCAAGGATGTACTGTGTTGTACTGTGATGTACTGTGTTGTACCGTGTGTAAACCGTAGACATGTTTGACCTTGGTGGAAGGCGTTGTGTACTGTGAAGGATTCCGTGAGAATTAAAGTCAGTTAACGTCACCGGGGGTCACGATTTACTTAACGAGGTCACTTGTTCGTTGAACATTGTTGTGATTAACGTAGGGACGTGTAAAGGCATCAGTCACAGTGAAGTTCACGCAGTGGGGGAATTGTCAAGAAAAGACTAACGTAGTGTTAACGATTTAACGAGCTGTCGTTAATTGAGTGATTAACGTAAGGGGTTGACGGTCTGTTATGATCGGAGTCAATTGCGCTGTAATTAAGCTGCTGTAATTCGTTGGACTGATCAGCTCTGTCTGTGGACAGAGTGATTAAACACTCGTAGCTAATTAAAGATAATTAGTAACCGCCACTTAGTGGATTCACCAGGTGTTGATGTTGTTGTTTACACGGAGTGTGTTGTAACCTTGTGTGTGGTAGAGTAGTCTACCCTCGTTAAGGTAATCTTGTCGTAAGACCGGAAGTGAACTGTCAGTTGAGAGACAGTTGGCTTTATCAATACTCGTCTGAATTAATAGGCTGTTGTATTCAGTAATTAAATTGGGAATTACTCACCGAATGCTTGACTTTCAAGTTGATGTAATTAATTGATGTACGAGTTATTACTGCCATTTAAGTGTCGTTGAGACACGTGTGTATTAACGTAATTGTTTAAATTCAATTAGAGTAACTTTTGTTTTTGATTGTCCTGAGAGACAAGTGTTAACGAAAGATTTTTATAAGGGATTATCATTCTTGGATTAACCGCCTTGTTACTTGGTACCTCGTTGAGGGCAGCGAGCGCCAGTCAAGTTTTTGTGATTATAATATTGATCACCGTGAAGCCGTGACAATATTAATTGCAAGCTTGCGTCACCAGTGGGCACCACTGTGTTCAGTTAGTGTCATTGTTCAGTCAGCGACGACGGGATAAGGAGACCGTGGGTCCATCAGGCTGTTCCTTAATGTTCCACTGGAGTGACAGTAAAGTAACGTAAATTCACTGTGTAGTAGTTTTAGTCTTGTTTTGTGAATAAATTGTTTTGTTATAGAAAACGATTGTTTACGTCAAACCTTCCAATATTATTGCCCCACATTTCATGTTCTGCAACGCTTTGCCTGCTTATGTTCATATCAAGTCTGTATCTAAAGCTCGAGTCCATTGCACAGCACCACACTTCTATAAATAAGAGGTGAGAATTCGTCGGCTACCCTTTATTAGTTGTCAACTAGGAGGAGCCAGCGACCTAAGTGACAGGTGTTACCCGAGTGGTTTCGCCTGGTGGTTTGCTCCCGCGGTCCTATGATCTTAGGCTTTAAGATTAAATATCTGCCACTGGCAGCTCTTGCTGTTTAAGGTCTGCCTCTCTTGCGAGGTAGTTACGATTAACGTAACATCAATAGGACTTAATTCTTTTGATAACCTGTCAAAGAAAAAAAATCTCACATCCTGTACCATGTCTATAAATTGTTCTCCTTCGATTTGTGATGTTAGAGTTACCAAATTTATTGTCTCATTGTTTAAGTCCCCCATTATTAGGGTTTGGGTTTCATATGCCACATTGATCACATTGTGCAGATCCACAACATCCTCTGCCGCTCCTGTGTCAGCCCTGTAGCATACTCCCACTGTCAGTTTGTTACCATCCTGACTTAAAATATTGCACCATACAGATTCTGAGGAACCCATAGTGTTTAGTTCCTCATTGTTGGTAGCATCCAGGTCCTCTTTAAATTTTCCTATTTGTTATAATGTCATATTTTTTGTTAATCTGATATTTTGAAAAAAAATCCTATATACTTGTACAAACCTCAGTGCCGTACAATATTCACTACATTCAATTAACATAAATCTTTTCTTCTAAAATCTATCACTATTTTGTTTATATCTGTGGATAAGGATGAAATATGCATATAAAGAGCATATATAGATTTTATTTATGAAAGTTTGGATGATTTTACAACTCCGATTTTGTGTTGTGGTACACTTATGAGTAAACATATACATAAAATGTCACTAATAGTTCAAAATTTAACATATCCCATTGAATAAGGTCCAACACAAGTTACTTGGATACGTACCTTGATTATCTGACCATTATCGGGATACTGGGTAAGAATATTCCTCAGGAGACCCACAACAGTAGGGATCTCTATGGCGCTACACACAAACGGATTATCTGCAAGTTTACATATGAAGAAATTAGTAAAAAAAAATACTGTAAAATAATACAACAATATTAATTATCATTAACATAAAACATATGAATATATTTCGATTATAAATTAAGTGGTAGACAGTGAATTTATTTATAGGTGGTCAAAGAAAGGAGAGGTAATAGTACAGTCATAAAATATATTTTTATACAGTTAAATTAACACTCAATGAACAGCAATCATAACAAAATGTTCACCTTGTAGTGCAAGGGAACATGCTCTTGTAATTACGTAAGTGTATAAATTGTCATCCACATTTCTGTGGAAATAAACATTCCGCTCACCTGTGCTGTATGGGCTCGAACCATGGACAATAACAATAACAGCTCTTCTGAACTGGTGTATTCAGTACTACATCCGAAGGTTGAGCAGTTGCCCGGACCTACTCCATGTGAATAAGTAGGCATCCCCCAACTATAGACAATCACTTCATCGAGAGGACCCGGCCCTCCCGGACTGCCTAGGCATATATTCTTAGGGGGTGGTGCCCAGCACTCCCTATCTTGGGACGTGCAACACAGCCACAGGTCGACCTCCTTGTGAGAACATAAAATAGTGGTGTACCCTGCTTATCTGTACTCCAGATTGCGTTTCATTGGTCCCATCTTAAACACTGCTTAACTTGCATGATTTGTCTCGTAAGAGCAAATCTGTGCCTTTTACATTTCAGGGAAACCTGTTTTGTTTTTTAATTGCAGATTCGGATCTTACAGATTCGGATTCGGATTCCGCCAGACACCAAGCAAACAGCAACATCCTCATCAAGCAAGCAGAGGCAACACAGACAAATGGTTGACCTGCCGAAGGTGGCGTTCATGGAGGCCAGGCGTTGGAGAAGTGCAGCATACACAGTCTGTGTACGGCAAGATATCAACACCTTCCCGTCGTGGGCAGGGGGTGTGCCAGCTTCGCTCGACCCTCGGGGTGGGGATGCTTCGCCGGAACCCCCGTGGCACCGGTTAAT